TTGTTTCTGGACTAGTTCTTTTCATACTTTCATTTGAAACTCTGGTGGGAAGAACCAGAGGGAAAGATCATTTAGCAGCATACGTGGTAGTCAGCCTCTGATGTTGGTGAGATTTATAGTTAAAACTGGTGAAATTAGGTACCTTTCCTAAGATTGTCTTCAGTAAGAAATTGTTGAGATACCAACCTGGTCTTATTTGTTGGTTTCATTGCAACTGCAACAATTTGTACAAGGTTCACAGTGCTTTGAAGGTAGGAGTCTCATGAATGCCGACATCAATGAATCCAGTCTGCGAGGGCCTTTATTTTCAATGCAGTATGAGCCATTAGGAGATGTAAATGATCAGGCATGTATATCAATAAATTTAGCCTGTCTGTTGGAGGTGCTCAAAGGAAAATTAGAAAAATTATTACAGGTTTGATAATGGATATAACGACCAAGTGGAATAACCAGAGAGGAGACCGCTCCAATCACTCAACTAGTAAGTTTGCTCCAGTCAATCTTGAATGACTTTTGCTATTTTTTCAATCAAATCATGTAAAATGCTGAAATAGTTGGATTTAAAAACTTCCCATGGTACACAACCAGTAGTTTGTATATTAGCACGGTGTATCGAACATCAGGTTTCTAGGGTTTGCTGAAGAATCCAACTACATCCTACTAGTACCCCACAGGTTGAATCTGAACTGTACATGTAATAATGAGATAATAAGGATTACCCTTCCTTTCTTCATCAGGTTTGTAAGTTGAATAAGCCAGTGGACTATCATGGTTAAATTCAAGTGATGATAAGTTAAGAACATGGAGGTTTTCTTAAAATATACAACTCCTACCAGCTAGTGAAAACAAGAGCATTTATGCTGCAGGGGAGGAAAATATGGCAGTATTTGATTGACAAGTGATGGCAACAATGTGATCAGTCATTATTCAAAACTGGTCACTCCCCGGCCACTGGGACCACTGCGCTCCTTCCTGCTGCCGAGCGCAATGGGTGGCGATGATGAGCTGAATCTCTTAGTCATAGTAGTAGACGCTAATCCGATCTGGTGGGGAAAGCAGGCGTTGAGAGGATCAAAGCTTACATTGTCAAAATGCCTTGATGCGAGCATGGTGCTGGGAAACTCACACTTGTTTATGAACCGCAACAACAAGCTTGCTGTTATAGCCAGTCATATACATGAAAGCCGTTTCCTGTATCCTGGAAAGTGCTGGGCAGTTATCGATATCTTTGGTGAGGCTGGAGAAACTAATATGTATGGTAGCAAGGATGGAAAGTATGAGTTATTAACAACTATAAATGAAGCAATTGCGGAGGAGATAAAGGATCTGATGATCAACGGACTTGAATGGCAACAGGCAGAAACATTGCTAGCCAGATCCCTTGCGAAAGCATTATGCTATATTCACAGGGTGACCAAAACGGAATCAGCTAGCCAAGAAATTAAATCCAGGATATTGGTCATAAAAGCTGCTGAAGACAGTGCATTGCAGTATATGAACTTTATAAATATTTTGATCGATTCCTGTGTTTTGGAGTCTGATTCAGGGATCTTGCAGCAGGCTTGTGATATCACTGGGGGTATTTACTTGAAAGTCCCACATAAGCCATCACTTCTGCAATATTTGTTGTGGGTATTTCTCCCTGATCACGACCAACAATCCCAACTCATCCTCCCACCCCGTGTTCATGTGGACTACAGGGCAGCTTGCTTCTGCCATAGGAATCTCATTGAAGTTGGTTACATCTGCGCGGTGTGTTTGTCAATATTCTGCAACTTCAGTCCGATTTGCACCACTTGCAAGACTGCCTTCAAGATTTCACTGCCAGCTATCATAAAAAATAAGAAAAAGAAGCTGAAATTAGCCATATAAGAGCATCGCTCATGCCTGTTTCTTTCGATGTGCAATTTCCCAGCTGAGATCATAGCTGGGGTGTTTATATGATGTCCGAAAAGAAGAGACCTGTATTCCAACAGAGTGCTAAACATTTCTGAACAACGGCATAAAGACGAGTGCCACCAGTCTGCTCAAGCAACAGGGGATAGAGCTTGTGTTATATAGTCATGATTAAACTGCCTCAAACCCACAACTGCAGCTATCGAAGGCATGAAGACAAGATTCTCCAGCCCCAAGAATGAAGTGTAAAGCTTCTCTAAGAGAACTTCCATAGACCAACTTCTCTATTCGGAACAGGTCAAATAATTTAAGCTACGATGCCTTCCTTCCAAAAAGAAAGTCCCATTTATTTAAGTAGAAATCTAGTATTTTGTAAAGGGCTCCTGGGGGCAGGTCCTACAGAAGCCCCTCTTGTGTTAATTAATAGAGAAAACAGCCCAATTTCAAGACTGCAGAAACTTTGGGATCTAGATTGCTTTGAGTTAAGCTTTTCAATTGTGGTTAGCAATGACTCCAAGTTCTTTGTTTCCCCTTCTCAAAAGTGATAGCTGCATCTGGATTGGCTGGCTCTTAGGCTCCTTTCGATGGTTGGCTTCCTCTGCCAAAACCTGTGCCAACGCAATCGTGCAAGCCAAATTGATTCCAGTGGAAGGGCTTAAGATACTTCCTGATACTCTGCTTCTAATATCTCCTTGATAATTTTAAGAGGAAGAATCAGCTATGCACTTCCTTTCCAGGTACAATGAACCATCTGTTGTTGAACGTAATGCAAATTTAATCAGTTCTGAGAATTGAAAGGAGTTCAATATTCCATGCTGGCTTAACACTGACAAGCTTTTCTACTCCTGATTTAACCTTTCTTCCTGCTTGTATACAAACAGGTAACATTTCCAATGTTCAGTCTTCCTCAGCTGGTACAAGCATTAGGTTCTGAGAAATGCAATCCAAATGTGACATTTCCAAGTTTTTCTGTGTTTTGCCAAGCACAAGGGACGGCCAGACATGAAGAGTCTGGTATCCCTCTTTGCTGAATATCCATCAGGGAGCATTTGCCATGTAATTTTACTTCCTTGAATCCTGACTCTTCACATTGTCAAAATGAGATTTCTGTCAATCCTTTAAAAATGGCATCCATGCCTTTTCTTTCTTTATCTTCCCGATCCCAAATCTGAAGATTTGTATCCTATTTGATGATCTAGAAGCCAGGGCTCTGTACACGGTATAATTTATTGACTGACCTGTATGCTGCATTGAACCTTTTACAGTTTGCCAGAGATATGATGTTGTTTTAACAATTGTTTTGTAACTTTTCCTAAAAAATTCAAAATCTGTACATTTTATTGTTGTGTGCTATCAGGTCATTTTCAACTGAAGGCAACCCCAAAGCAAACCTATTGTGAGGTTTATTTGGCAGGATTTGTTGGGGGGCAGTGACTTTGCCACACTGAATGCTTGTCTGTCTTATCCAGGGTTGCTAGAATGAAAATTAGAGATCTCTGTGATGTAAACCGTCTCCAGATTTGCCTGTATTTTCAACCCTTGTACTCTCAACACACATGTTGCCCTTTTACTTTCAAGATTCCTCCTTGGATCAGGTACTCAGGTCTAAAGGCGATCTCTATTATGGTGGTTTTGATAAATGGGTTCAATGTGGTAAGAACAACCAGTCTCCCCATCCATTATTGAATAGAACATTCAGTCCCATTTGATAAAGTACTAGTTTACAAAAGCTTATACTACCAACTGCATTCTCTGTCTCTTCTGGGGCTACAAGATTTTTCTGCATTCGGTCACATCATCTTAAGCTTTTACAGATAGTTCCTCTCTTCACAGGCTCCCATATTTAATGATTGTGTAGAAGGAATTTCAGAAGGTGATGCTTTATACCTAGTTACACAAAAAGCAAGACTTGTTGAAATTCCCTTCTCTGCACAAGTATCAGAGAGTACAGGAACCTGCTCCAATTTTCAACCTGGCAATCCTAATCCTATCAAAAAAAATTTATGCATTTGTCTCATCACACGTTCTTAATACTTCTTAGCTATCCATCACCACTAAGATTTATAGTGGCCAGTTACTACAACCAGCATTGTTTATCTGTAGTCTTAGGCTACTATACATTTTAAAAAAAACCTTGAGTTTGCCATTCACTATATGCTCAGAAAGGAGTTTTGTTTAAGCCTGTCTGATAAACATAACTGCATAATGTATGTACTCCTGAGATTTAACTCATATATTCCACTTCCTGCATTTCACCAGAACTATTCATTAATCATCACACACATACGTGCTTACACGATACAGCCATTTGTCTAGGAAAATAGCAATGGTGTGTGTGATTAAGAGAACATGAGATTATGGATCATCCTGTAGTTGTACTGAAAAACATTGTCTCAAAGTATTGGCACAAACAACTAATACATAGTAATAGTTTTTAGTCCCATTCGTGGGAGTAAAGTAACTAACAATAATAATAATAATAATAATTAACAGTATACTGCTAATAAAAATCAGCCAGTTGTATCTAGATGTTAGAATTACCAATAAAAGTTCATTTGTACAGAGGCAATAGCACAAACAAAGCAAGCCTTGTAAAGATGTAGAAATGTGTCAGTACAGGCAAACTGAAAGCTCTGCACTATTGGACACAACACATTTAGACTAGACACCTAGGTTGTGCGAACAGATCTCAAATGCAAAGTAAGGACTATTGTAAAAGTTTATATCAGGATAAACTAAGCAGAGTCTATGGGCTATATGGCTTCCAAGTACTTTTCTGTGTCTGCCTTTCAACACTCACTAAGAAGCCACTCCTAACACATCAATAAGTTGGTTTACTACCAAAATTTGGCAGCAAATAACTAAGCAAACAATGATCAGTATCATTACATAAGATGAAGTCTTGAATGCAAGAACTGATTAAGTACTTTTCTGACATGCAGTGTACAAGTGTTTAGATCAAATCATATAATCAAACACATGTTTTACCACACCAAATATTTTACCTAGACAATATACAATTCATCGTCACATTTTCTATCTGTCATAGCAGCTATATGTCAATACTGTCTTGATGCGGCTTATTTTTCCAGATAATTTGAAAATAACTTGCAAAATTTCTTTATTATATTTTACACATTAGTTTTCAATTGTTTTATTATATACAGAAATATAATTTTAAATATAAAAATCCAATAAGATATAATCAAGTCCATTTAAATTTGTATAAAGTGAAAGGTTGTCTGGATCTACCTTTCTCTTCATAAAATGATATAAAAATAAAATTCTGATAATTATGGTTCTGATTTAAAGTTTTAGAAGTAGGCTTTCGTGTTTTGCTACTTTAATGAAACTGAGGAGACATCCTTCACTACTGTGTGTAGCACCACTAAATATTTCTATGGAAAAAGAAAGATTATGTAAAAGTCCACCATCATTGTATGTATTATTTTCATGACTTCAAATTTTCTTTCAGCCAAGGAGTCAGCAGATGGCTAACAAAAGACAATACTTGAAAGAGCATGGGACTGGAAAGATTTTCTGTTCTTACTATAATTTCTGTAGCCCAATCCGACTTTAGCACTGAGCTCAAATATGACTTGGTCTTATGTATCAACACAAGACCATAGTCTTCGAGATGATTAAATGAAGTTCTACAGCAGTTCATCTCAGAATATCAACATAATTCAATACCATCATCTAAGACTAAACATTCTGTGAAACAAAAAAACCCTATCAAAACTCAGGAAGGCTAACTTATGTGCCCCATTTCTTCCATGCTTATTCTTGTATCAAAATGAGAATTTCAGAATACTATTTATTACCCCTCCCCCCACCTGAAAGCCCAGAATAACTAGGCCTGGATATATTTTTAATGTGCCACTGGAAGAATATTTTTATATCTTATCATAGCCTGATTTTCAACTGCTCCTGTTACTCCAGCTTGCTATAGGAAAATGAAATATATAGGAAACTGAATAAAACAATTGTAACTTGCTGTTCATTTGACATATCAACTTTGAAGTTAAACTATTTTAAACAATGTATCTGTCATTTAAACAATTATTTGGAATCCAAAATAACATTCTTGATAAATCAACTACAAAACATAACTTGGAATGCATTCAAGATTAACTACAGAATTATCTTTCCAAGCACTTATGCTATGAAACAATTTTTAATACTGATTTTTAAAGCAGTAAAACTATTGGCATTGTAAATCCTGGAACGCCTAATAATTTCCATAGTTTAAGGAGAATATCCTGTAACCAAATCGACAATTGTGTGTTTTTATACATCCAAAAAACTGACCTCATAGACAGTTTGATTAAAAATAATGGTAACAAGTGGAACTGCTGTAGAATTTCAGGAAACCACCTTTGAGAAGGGAATGCTGTGCAACTTGCTGTTGGTCTGACAGATGGCTAAAAGGGGGGGAAACTATACTGTTAATCATGTTTTTGGCAGTCTGAACTCCCAGCATGTTGCAATTTTAGTGCAAAGACACAGTGATCTTTTGCAATAAGGCTAAAAATTAGAACAGAAACGAATTCTATCATAAGAACTATTAGGTTATTTGGTTTCTACAGTTGGCAAGTTCAACAAACAAGAAAACAGATAGCAATATTCAAACTTTAAACCAAAACTTCATTGCTGGGTTCCAACCCCAATAAATATACTTTAAAAATATCTTCCTGTTTTAAAAGTGCAAAATTCCAGTCCTATCTGCCTGCCTGCACTCAGATTTTTTTTTCTGTAAATGAGACAGAGCAGGCATGCACACATACACAAGGATGCATTTCTGGACTGGCTTCTCCAAAAATTGATATTCTTGATTTCAGAAGGAAACATATTACCTATTAAATATGTTGAATTTGTTTTAACGCTGCAAACAACTACACCCAGCATATTTCTTGCTAGAACATTGTGATGCAACATTAAAATCACTTCTCCTTCCCATTTAAAAGGCAGCTGACAGTTGTTAATATTATGTTCACAGGTGTCACTAAAATGAGTTAGCCTTTTAATTTTATATTTTATTAAGGTGCTAGGAAATATTGGCTCTTTCCAGGAGTCTGTTAAATATTCGCTGCCTGTGTTCCATTGTTAAGCAATATCCAATAGCATTTTCAGTTTCCTGGATTCTTTTAAGGAATCGGCACCCATCCCGTGCAAGTTCTTCCCAGGGTCCTTTACGATCTTCCTCACTACTTATATAATACTCAACAACTTCTTCAAGGAAGGTCACCTATGAGACACAAAAGGAAATCAAATTATTAACATATATTTAAATAACACCAAGTGTATGAGCTATATCCCACACCAAGTAATTAAGATTCCAATACAGTTTAAAGACATTAAAAGTACGAATTAGAACTATACATAAGAGCCTGTGAGGCTTTAAGAACAGATTATAATAAACAGATTACTGTTACTTGAGGAGTGCCCCCTCTACTTAATACACTTTTTTGTGTTAGGAGTGACTTGAAACTGCGAGTCACTTCTGGTGTGAGAGAATTGGCCGTCTGCCGGGATGTTGCCCAGGGGCCGCCCAGCTGTTTGATGTTTTAGCATCCTTGTGGGAGGCTTTTCTCATGTCCCTGCATGGAGAGCTGGAGCTGACAGAGGGAGCTCAGCCCATTCGCTCTCCCCAGATTTGAAGCACTGACCTTTTGGTCAGCAGTCCTGCCAGAATGATGTTTTAACCCACTGCGCTACACGGGATTTCTACTTAATACACTATTATTATTTTACTTACTTTCCTTCTTCACTCCTTTATAATGTGTCACTTACAACACAAATCTTAACAAAGGTTCAAAATAGTTTTTTGACCCTTTTACATTTTTTGAGTTTAACACCTGAATTTCTTATGCTGTTATACAGTTACAAAAATTACATGGGTTATGCTTACAACAAACAAAGTATGTCTACAGATTAAAGTATGCCAAGACTTTATATTTTACAGCATCAAGTCTCCCTAAAGTTTATAACTACTTTCATACAAAAAGATGGCACAGGGACATGCTAGTTACATCAGCCTGTTTGTCTCTGCTATCTTTCTTGACTTTTACATCATTCTAAGGTATCCTCCTGGGCTTCATTAACAGGTCAGGTAACACTGTGTATATATTGCATAGCATTCTTTGTTTGTTTAATGTGCATCTCTAGAAAGCAATACACAACTGAAATTTGTAGGGAAAATAAAAATGTTTACAGAGAAGTTAATGCCGAAATGTGTACATTTATAACTCCAGAGATTTCACAAGACATAATTTTACTATCTTAAGCTTGTTCACTCTATGCAAATCTAGACAAGTTCACTAACTACATGCAAACTTTTCAGAAGAACTAGTAAGATATTTCAGTTCTAAATAGAAAGGTTTAGTTGATGCAGATCAACTATTACACAATGCAAATCTGTCAGTTAGGAGTACTGCTTGGAAAGTTATTTGTAGAAGTAATTTGTTTCCATTAGACAAAACAGCATTAGATAATTACCTATTGTTATTTATAATAATAGAAGACTTATTTGGAATGATAAGATGTAATATACAAGAATTGGTGTTAAGTTCTTCTAAGAATGTCATTTAAAAGTATTTTTTGAAAAACTAGAAACCACTACCTGTTACACAGTACAATAACAATTCCTTACTCATATTACTTTTGAAATACAAATTTATTGCACTCCCGCACCTAAGTGACTACTTGCTGCTAACTGTAAATGTAATTTAAAGTAACTTGTTATGGCCAAGCTTTGTATTAGAAAACCTTTAGATCAAACAGTGTGATCCGATGTTCACATACAATTTTAGGTAAATTAGCTCCAATCATGTTTTGTCAAGTCTGCCTTGTGACAGAAAAGACTGAGAAGACCTAGTGAGTGGAATGCAAGTGTTCAGACTCATTGTTCTAACCATTTTGCAAAGCAGTAACATCTGCTTCAAACGGGACTATACATAATGTATATCCTACTTTAAATCCTACTGTGAGTTTCAACAATCAAACAGTTAAGGTAAGTGAAGTAAAGTCACTTACGTGCTTAATGTAAACAAACACATAAACCTTCCATAATGACATGTAAGGAGTCACTGTACCCTTTTTTACTGCTAGTCAAAGTAGCAGTTAGAATGAACAGCTTTCTCACAATCATATACTACTTAAAATCACTTCTACTTTTTGCTGTTGTGAGCCTTCATGTTATTTCCAAACTATAGTGACCATCTCATTTTCAATTTAGTGCTGCTTAAGTGGTGGAGGTGGAAGATACCCCGGATATCTGAACAAAACCTCACATTAGAGCAAGGTTATAGAATTGAGACTTTTATCCCAGAAAAAGCTGAAAGGACCAAAGGGCAAATGACACAACCTTCATTACTCATACAGAAATCATGCAGCCTGCTTCTGATTAATTCTTTAAATAAAATCAACAAGTAGATATCATATAATGATAGCATGGATGGGAATATCTGTTTTGGTTTTGCCATGCTCTAGTATTGTTTCTTTCATTCAAATGGATATCTCACATCCAAACATCTTTGCAGGATGTGCTAGGAATAGGAAGCATTCAACTTAAGTATTACCTGTCATCATAATCAACAACATCACAGTGTTGAAAATGTCCTGTACAAGTTATCCTGTTTCAATTCCTAAATACATTTGAAAAATATTTCAAACCTGGTCCTGAAAAAAGTTATTTCCTTTTTGGGATAATTTTCAATGAAGTAATTATGCCAAGTTAAGTTGCTAAGTATTTGGCATAAAATAACTGATCAGACTATAAATCTTATCATATGTATGCAAAACATCAGGTTCTCTTCTATGAATAGCCATTCTGCAGGCCTACTGAGCAGGACAGAGTTACTGTTATTCAGTGCTTACAGACTTAAGTATGAACATATACGAATCCTACCTTTTTCTTCCTCTTACACTTTTCTCTAGAAATAATGTCACACTTCACAGTCTCTGTAGCTTCAGAATTGCTCTTATCAAGCAAATGGACCTGACAGCTGAACAAGATGCTACTTTGAGACCCTGGTGGCCCTTTCAAGTCACATCTCCCTTTCTTTTCCACAGACTGAAATTGGGCCGTGAAATTGAGAGGGTTATAGGGATCTCCCAGGTTACAGAAGGAGTTCCACAATTTCAAGTTTGCCGATTCGTCTATGCTGCCATCGCACTCCCATTCCTCGTCCTCACAAGAACTTTCTGTCCACGAGGAAGAGTCATCTGCGGCCACCTCTACCTCAGGCGGCTCAGAGAAAGACCTAGTCTCTGGTGCACTAGTCTGAATAGGGGCAGTAAAGTTTCCAAGGTCGTAAGGATCCAAGCTACAGAAAGAGTTCCACAAGTGAAGGCTTTCTCCCTCCTGGCTGCAGATATTGGAATCTGGGAGGGATCCTTCACTATCAAACCCATCATCATCTTCTTCTTCTTCCTCCTCCCCGCTATCCCAATCTTCCTCTTCTTCCTCCTCCTCCTCACTACAAGCGCCCCCCAGGATGTAATCAATGAGTTTGTTACTACAGGCAGGCCGGGCCTCAACAGGTAGATCTTGTTCTATGTCAGAGTCTTCATCATCGCAGCAGGACTCGAGCTCAGACAATCCCTCCTGGCAGGGACTCCCTTCAACACGGTCTTCCTGCGATTCCTGGCCACACTCCTCGACCTTAGCGGCGTTTGTATCCCAAGAACCCGGCTGTGTCGGTGTCTCCTCGACCTCCAAACTATGGTAGCCGTAGTCGGGATCTGGCGAGTCGAGAGCGGCGGGAGGGCCCTTCAAATGCACCCGCTCCAAGAGGCTGGGGAACTTGGCGCGCAGGCAGGCGGCCTCGTCGATGGTTTCCCCCCAGGAGGCCTTCAAGGGGCCAGGCTGCGCGCTCCTGTCGAAGGAGGCGGAGGAGACCGCGCGCAGTTCGTGGTGGGCGGCCAAGAGGGGGGCCAGGCCGGGCGCCTCCCACGCCGGCACCGAGGTCTGGGCCTCGGCCTGGAGCCAGAGAAGAGGAATGGCCGGGCTGGGCAGGAGGCGATGCAGCAGCTGCAAGAAGAGCCTCAGCAGGGAAAACGGCGCCTCGCCGAGCTGAGGAGGAGGCGAAGGCGGCGGCGGCAACGAGGGCGGCGGGCAAGGCCCCAAGCCAGGGCATGTCGACTCCGACTCCCTCCTCGGCTCCATTCCTACCTCAAGTTTTTCTAGCCCTGCGGTGGCTTCTCCCAGCCTGGAAGGTGTCGCGGGTTCCGAAAGACGCGGTAGCCTCCCTTCAGGCTGGGCCGGGCCATCTTTTTTCCTCAGTCAAACCTTAGGAAGGCCGCTTCGAGGCTGTTGAGGGAAGAGGAACAAAATGGCGGCGCGGCAGGGAAAGCGGTTGGGCTGGGAGACTCCGCGCGCCCCTCTTGACGCACGCACGCACGCACGCGCTCCCTCTGATCGAGCCGGCGGGGGAGAGAGTGAGCCAGAAATGAGAAGCTTTGACGGCTGGGAACATCCGGGCAATCTACGCGGCAGGCGAGGGCTCGCAATTGGTTCTCTACTCAAGCAGAGTCCCGCCTCTCACCTCTGATTGACGGTTGGAGAGATGCTGGCGCCATAGCCTAGCTATTGCATCAGCCACTTGGTTTCAGTACTGATAAAGGACGCTACATACAGGGGGTTCCCCACCCCCACATTTGAGAAATCTGGGATTTTTTAAATACTCCAATATCTTTAATAGTATTATTTTAATAGTACAGAATCTACACGATAAACTTTATGAGGAGAGCATTTGAACACCTTCCTTAAAATTGTAATCTTAGGAAGAATTTGTAAACATGATTAAATGGTTATGATATTCTCCAATTATATATATATATATATATAGATATAGATATAGATATAGATGTTGTTGTTCATTCGTTCAGTCGTCTCCGACTCTTCGTGACCTCATGGACCAGCCCACGCCAGAGCTCCCTGTCGGCCATCACCACCCTCAGCTCCTTCAAGATCAATCCAGTCACTTCAAGGATGCCATCCATCCATCTTGCCCTTGGTCGGCCCCTCTTCCTTTTTTGCCTTCCACTTTCCCCAGCATAATTGTCTTCTCTAGGCTTTGCTGTCTCCTCATAATGTGGCCAAAGTACTTCAACTTTGACTCTAGTCTCCTTCCCTCCAGTGAGCAGCCGGGCTTTATTTCCTGGAGGATGGACTGGTTGGATCTTCTCGCAGTCCAAGGCACTCTCAGAACTTTCCTCCAACACCACAGTTCAAAAGCATCTATCTTTCTTCGCTCAGCCTTCCCTAAGGTCCAGCTCTCACATCCGTAGGTGACTACAGGGAATACCATGGCTTTGACTAGGCGGATCTTTGTTGCCAGTCTGATGTCTCTACTCTTTACTATTTTATCGAGACTGGACATGGCTCTCCTCCCAAGAAGGAAGCGTCTTCTGATTTCCTGACCACAGTCTGCATCTGCAGTAATCTTTGCGCCTAGAAATACAAAGTCTGTCACGCCTCCACGGTTTCTCCCTCTATTTTCCAGTTGTCAATCATTCTTGTTGCCATAATCTTGGTTTTTTTGACGTTTAGCTGCAACCCGGCTTTTGCGCTTTCTTCTTTCACCTTGATTAGAAGGCTCCTCAGCTCCTCCTCGCTTTCGGCCACCAGGGTGGTGTCATCTGCATATCTGAGGTTGTTAATGTTTCTTCCAGCAATTTTCACCCCAGCTTTGCATTCATCCAGCCCCGCACATCGCATGAGGCGGAGTCAAGATGGCGACGGAGTAGCAGCAACTCTGCCGAGCTCCGGAGAAGAAGCTCTCCCGAAAAAAGATTTACAACTTAGCCAACTTAGCTAAATCGCTCTCTGTGAGAAAGATTTACATCTGAGCCAAACTGTTCCCCAGAGAAGATTTACAACTGAGTTTAATTGCTCTTCGTGAGTAAGATTCGCGGGAGGGGAAGATCAGAGGGTTAGAGTGTGGCTGCCTTTACAACAAGGTTAAAACGCTCCCTTCTAGACCATCTATTACAACGCGGGCAGAGTACTCCCTCTCTTAGTCAAGATCAGAGAGAGCTCAAAAATAAAAAATCAGAGAGAGCTCAAAAATAAAAAATAACAACGAGTCCCTGACCTGCAACACCCCAGGACCCCATAGGGGCCGTCTGGTGAGATTTCCAGGGAAATAGGAAGGGAGAGAGAGGGGAGAAGAAGGAGGCTGAGCTGAGGCCATTATTTTCACCTTCTCGGCCGGAGCTCGGTGGAGCTCGCTCCCTCCTAATATCCTAATTTCGCCTGCGCTTGGAAGACCCGAAGGCGCAGATATTATCCCTGCAGGGCTTTGCTTGTGCTGCCGCTTTCGGCTTCGGGTTCGGCTGGAAGATGGCCCTTTTTGCTGAGCTGCTCTGATCCATTGCTGTGTTGCTGCTTGGGAGAAGCCTTTAGAAGCCCAGTTGTCACTACTGAGACCCCAATCTTGTGTTGCTGCTATTGTGTTGCTGTATAAATAACATCTGATCTCCAGCTTTGAAAGCTCTTGGCAACTGTGACGTGAATTGACTAACAACGGACCAACAGACACTGCCTCTTGCATGAGTATACCATCTGCTCATCTGCTTGTGATTAGTGCCACCACCCATTGGCTGGTCGGGAAGAGGCGGGAGCCTGGCCAAGGGGATGCCGGCTTGTCCTTCACGGATCCTCAGAAACCGGTCTCCTAATTCTGAACTGACTACCCTTGATTGAGAAGTGGCCTAGTCCAAGAAGGCAAAGAACTTTTTTCGAACTGGTTCTACTACTATGTCACTTTAGCCTAGAGCATTTTAGATCTTTCGGTGGTTGTCCGGTATCCACCACCCCCGGAAGACTGAGTCGGCCACCTGTGACCAAATTACCGCCACCTTTGCATCCCGCTGATCCAATCTTGGACAAATTGTGTGATCTTTCATGGTCCAGCAGTGCCTGCTGATTGTGTTGACTGTGTTGAACTGCTGATTGTTACTGTGTAGACCTCTTGTGTAGACCTCTTGTGTAGACCGTTTGTGTAGACCTCTTATGCTGGCCTCTTTGTATGAAGAGATATCATCGTAGTTCAACTGTGCTGACCGCCGCTGTGTTGACATCGCCGGATGACCCATCCGCTTTTAGACCAACCGTCTAGGGATTACATCTGAATCATAACAATTTTAATAACCTTATCCAATTACTATTACCATCATCCTTGTGAGAGTGTGATTACATATCACTACCTCAGTTACCCCTTGGTTGTCGTTTGCTGCTAATTTGATCAAGAACGCAATAGCACTTTAAGGCGCCTGCCACTGCTGCTAAATTATACCAGCACTACGCCCCCATCCTTTTCCTCTATGCCGCACTTTAGTTAATTGAGAGAACCAGTTTGGGTATCTATTGCACTTAGATCTTGCACTTTATGTACTGCACCTTAGATCTTGCACTTTATGTATGTGCCCAACGGTACGCAGTATGTTGTTGATTGAGTGATATTACTGACTGGGTGGCATTTAAGTCTCTTGCACTTTACGAACTGTTTAACTGGTGTGGCTGAACGCCTAGCCCCACCTGAATCTATTGTTATCCATGTGGCTCCCCATCCCCCTATTTGTTCTGTCCCTGTTACTGCTGACTAGTGGAGGGGGCAGGGGAGGAGGAGGGCTGGAGCCTGTGAACAAGGATGGGGCGGGGAGGGGGGAGGAGGGGAGGCAAGGGAGATGGCAAAGGCCAACAATCCAAACTTCGAGCGATATTGGAAATAAGACCTTGGTGCTGGACTGCGGCATGGAGGAGGGGAGGTGTTCCACTAGCCGAGGGGCCCCCATAGAGGTCGTGGTGGGGAGGAGGAGATGCGGTAAAAGGAGACCTCAAATTCGGCTTAATTCGGACCGCTTACCAATATTAACAACCCTAAACCGGTCTCCTAAGGTATATTGGTGTAACCAGGTGAGCGGGCCCTCCGGATTGAAGGTGGTGCTGCTGAACGCCAGGTCTGTCAACGGAAAAACGACCTGGATCCAGGATTTAATCCTGGATGAGCGGGCAGATCTGGCGTGCATTACGGAGACCTGGCTGGATGAAGCTGGGGGCGTGAATCTTACCCAGCTTTGTCCTCCAGGCTTCTCCGTACAGCACCAACCGAGATCCGGAGGACGGGGAGGCGGGGTCGCAGTGGTCTATAGAGATTCCATCCATCTGACCAGGAGTCCCATCCCGCAGACCACAAATTTTGAATGCGTCCACCTGAGGGTGGGTGACCGGGACAGAATAGGGATTCTGTTAGTGTACCGTCCACCTCGCTGCACTACAGTCTCCCTACCTGAGCTAGCGGGGGTAGTCTCGAGCCTGGCGTTGGAGTCTCAACGGCTTCTTGTGCTGGGGGACTTCAACATCCATGCCGAGGCGACCCTCACAGGAGCGGCTCAGGACTTCATGTCCGCCATGGCAACCATGGGGCTGTCCCAACAAATATCTGGCCCCACCCACTGTGCTGGACATACATTGGACTTGGTTTTCTGCCAGGGATGGGAGCAGGGTGGCGGTGTGGAGGAGTTGTCCATCTCTCCGTTGCCATGGACTGACCACTTCCTGATCAGATTTAGGCTCACTGCGCCCCCTAACCTCCGCAAAGGTGGAGGACCCATTAAGATGGTCCGCCCCAGGAGGCTTATGGATCCGAATGGATTCCTGACGGCTCTTGGGGATTTTCCCGCCACCTCGGTAGGTGACCATGTCGAGGCCTTGGTCGCTCTCTGGAATGGGGAGATGACCAGGACAATTGACATGATCGCTCTGGAGCGTCCCCTCTCAAGTAGCCGAGCTAAACCAGCTCCTTGGTTTACCGAGGAGCTGGCAGTGATGAAGCGAAGGAAGAGGGAACTAGAGAGCGTGTGGCGTTCGGACCCAAGCGAGTCAAATCGAGCACGGTTTGTGTCCTTTTTAAGGGCATATGCCGCGGCAATAAAAGCCGCAAAGAACATTTCTTTGCGGCCACTATTGCGTCTGCAAAGAACCGTCCGGCGGAGTTGTTTCGGATTGTTAGAGGTCTTTTAACTCCCGCCACCTCTGGCGGGAGCCCTGACAATTCGGTCACGCGCTGTGAAGCATTTGCTCGGTTCTTTGCAGACAAAGTCGCCTTGATCCGTTCTGGGCTGGACGCCGCGTTAAATGCAGTCTCAGAGGATGTAACAAGAGCACCTGCTTGTCCTATTTTGATGGATTCTTTTCAGTTTGTGAAACCCGAGGATGTGGACAAGATACTTGGAGGAATGAGGCCCACCACGTCCATCCTAGACCCCTGCCCATCCTGGCTTCTGAAGGAGGCCAGAGGGGGATTGGCTGAGTGGGTAACGGTGGTGGGTAATGCCTCCCTTCGGGAAGGCAAGATTCCAGCGTGCTTAAAACAAGCAGTTATAAAACCGCTGTTGAAGAAACCATCACTGGACCCCACTAAATTCGACAACTTTCGGCCTGTTTCCAT